CCACCTCCGCCGCCTCCGCTCCCTCCGCCACCACCGCCGCCTCCGCCGCCTCCACTACTCCCGCCGCCGCCGCCACCCCCGGCACCACTCCCACCACCACCCCCACTCCCTCCACTGCCTCCACCACCACCTCCACCGCCCCCGCCAGCCCCTCCAGCGCCCTTGCCCCCCTTGCCCTTGCCGGTGCGACGTCTCCCGCTATGGGCAGACGCAGCGCTGACCGACTCGAAACCAACGAGGTCGGCCGCAGCAGCAGAGGCAACAGAAGGCAAGAGGGGGGAGGGAGAACACCCCTCAAAGACGGGGGTGCGAGGGTCACCACGAGAGGCTCCTACAGCGACTATATTCTTCTCTGCTGCTAGGAGGGCCTTCTCGAGGAGGTCAACGGTGAGAGTGGTGGGGCAAACTGAGAGGAAGTGGTCCCCGACTACGCGGAGAGAGTCAGGGAGCCGGGTGACTATGTAGTAGAGGGTGATGTACATGGCGGGGGGGGGGGTTCTTGGCGTAGAACTCAGCAGGAAGCGCAGCGCGGTAGCGAATGTCACTAGTGCGGAGGTGCGTAATGAGGTCAGCGACTGTGGGAAAGGCAGCAAGGTCAGGGAAGAGGTACGGTAGCATGAGGCGGCTCAGTGTAGCGGTGGCAGGGGAAGAGTAGCGTGCAACTACAGCGTCGTACAAGGTCTGAGCACTCTTGTACTGGCTAATGTGTGCACGCTCAGTGGTCGGTAAGTGGCGGCGCATAGCAAGGCGAGCAGCAGCATCACGCGTGGCCCACTGTGAGCGAACAGTGGCGTCAGCATCAACAGTAGGGGCAGGAGAGGCACCAAAAGTGAGGTCAAACAGGGAGAGACCGTCTGCCCTATCGCACTGTAGGAAAAGCTGCAGATCATCTACCCAGACCTCAAAGTCAACTGCCCGACCCTCAGTGTCAAAGGTGAGAATACTAGGGGAGGCCATGACAGCAGTAGACAGGCAGTGAGTACAGTGGGGCAGGGCAGTGCACTGGTAGAGGCGCTGCTCTTACCAGGCAAGTGGGGCGGTCCCGGGCAGGCCGACAGGCGGCAGCGCCTCGGCTGCGGTGCGGCTCGGCGGTCGGGCGGCTCGGCTGCAGGGCGGTCGGGCGGCTCGGCTGCAGGGCTGCTCGGCTGCTCGGTGGCTCGGCTGCTCGGCGGCTCGGCTGCTTGGCGGCTCGGCTGCTCGGCGGCTCTGGCGCTCGGCGGCTGGGCGGCTCGGCGGCTCTGGCGCTGGGCGGCTGAGTGGTGACGGGGCCGCGGAAGGGTGGCGACGGGGCTGCTGAAAGGGCGGCGATGGGCCGTTGAAAGGGCGGCGACTGGCCGCTGAAAGGGCAGCAAAGGGGCCGCGGAAGGGTGGCGACGGGGCCGCTGAAGGGCGGCGTGGGGGCCGCGGAAGGGCGGCGACGGGGCCCCTGAAAGGGCGGGCGGCGACGGGGCCGCTGAAAGGGCGGGCGGCGACGGGGCCGCTGAAAGGGCGGCGACGGGGCCGCTGAAAGGGCAGGCGGTGACGGGGCCGCTGAAAGGGCGGCGACGGGGCCGCTGACGGGCGGCGAAGGGGCCGCTGGAGGGCGGCAACGGGGCCGCGGTAGGGCGGCGTCGGGGCCGCGGAAGGGCGGCGTCGGGGCCGCGGAAGGGCGGCGACGGGGCCGCTGCAAGGGCGGGCGGCGAGGCCGTGGAAGGGCGGCGACGGGGCCGCTAAAAGGGCGGCGACGGGGCCGCGGAAAGGTTGGCAACGGGGCCGCTGAAAGGGCGGCGACGGGGCCGCTGAAAGGGCGGCGCCGGGGCCGCTGAAAGGGCGGCGGCGGGGCCGCGGAATGGGGGGGCCGCGAGGGCGGTGCGAAGAGGGCCGCAAGGGCGGCGCGACGGGGCCGTGAGGACGGCGCAACGGGGCCACTAGGGGCCGTGAGGGAGGCCGCTAGAGGCCACGAAGGGGGAGTCACACGGGGCGCGACCCGGGCAGAGGCCAAGCGCGCTCCGGGCAGGGAAAAAAAAAGGTCGGTGGGCCCTAGGAACAGTTCCAACGAGGGAACCTGCTCTATACCATGTGAGAATTAGAACAAGGAATGAATGAACTATGAAACAGCTGGGTACAAGTGCTAACCCTAATTGGGTTGTACCCGTTATGGGCTACCCCACTACAGCCTACACAGATGTATAAGCTATAATGTTCTGACATGTTGATCATCTCAATCATTTTACATTCACTCAGATTTGAGGTCAAGGGCCCACCACTACCACATATTCTGTGCGAACCTTTCCGAGGTGATCCTGGTTACGATCAACTTCTAATCGCAGCATGGTACCGTATGGCCCCGGATATAGGCGCCATCCGATTAAAGGCGCCGGCGTCTCTATTTAGAGCATGTCGCTTATGGCCGTTCCTTGATTATAAACGCCCCCCCCCCCCCCCTGGTCAGAACTATACTCTAGGCTGTAGTGGGGCACTCCTTATGGGGTACAGCCCTGATAGAGGCTGGAGCTGGGGGCCCTACTGCGGGAGGCGCTGGGGTTGGAGGCATTGGAGCTGACGCTGTCCCTCTCTCCCCACAGCAGCTGCGTGAGTGGTACGTTAGCCGTCAGGGTCGCGCTGCTGGAGCTGGAGGCCTTGCTGCGGGAGGCGCTGGAGCTGGTGACTCTGCTCCTGGAGGCGCTTCTGCTGGAGTTACTGGAGCCACTGGCCCCGGAGGTGCTCGTACTGGAGGTACTGGAGCTGCTGAGGCTGGAGGTACTCCTGGTTCTGGGGGTGCTGCTGGCAGAGACACTGAGGCCGGAGACTCTGGGGCTGGAGGTGCCGGTTCTGGGGGTGCTGCTACTGGTGGCGCTGGTCCTGGAGGTGCTGGCGCTGGAGGTTCTGGAGCTGCTGGAGGTGCTCGTATTGGAGGTGCTGGCGCTGGAGGTTCTGGAGCTGCTGGTGGTGCTCGTGCTGGAGGCGCTGGAGCTACTGGTGCTGCTGGCACTGGAGGTTCTGGAGCTGCTGACAGTGCTGGTGCTGAAGGTGCTGGCGCTGGAAGTGCTGGCGCTGGAGGTTCTGGAGCTGCTGGAGGTGCTGGCGCTGAAGATTCTGGAGCTGCTGGAGGTTCTGGAGGTGCTGGAGGTGCTAGCGCTGGCGGTGCTGGTGCTGGAGGTGCTGGCGCTGGAGGTTCTGGAGCTGCTGGAGGTGCTCATACTGGAGGCGCTGGAGCTACCGGTGCTGGTAGCACTGCACAGCCGCGACTGTTCTTCGCTCCGCCGTCACCTTCGTCTCTACCACCGCTTGACTCCGTGCTTCGCCACATTCTTAGCCTCCCGTCTTCTACTGGTCTTCCGTTACAGACTGGCTCCCCTCTCCCTGCTCCTTCTCCTTACACTTAGGAGACAGGAGGTCTTGCTGAGCGTCGTGAGCCTGCGTCTCGTCGTGTCTCGCCGGCTCGCACTGTCCGACTGCTCATACTGGTCGTCGTGTTCCTCGTGAGCGTCCGCCGACTGTCCCCGGCACACACCTCATGGCCCTGCGTCCTTCCTTTGCTCCGCAACGTGTTCCCCTGCCGTCCCCTCCTTCGTCTTCTCTGCCTAACGTTCCAGACCCTGAGTCTGATAGCACTCGTGCTGCTCACCCTATTGTCACGCGTCTACTAGCCACTGTTGTCACTGACCCGTCGTTTGAGTCTACTGCTGCGTCTGCCTTAGTCGCTAAGCTTGTTGACTTTGCTGCTCCCTGTCGTCTAGACTACGTCGCTTATCTTGTTGCTGAGTCTGAGTCTGTCTGTCCTCCGTCCGTCGAGGGTGAGTGTGCTCTTGGCACGGACGTCCTTGAGGGCAGGCAGGAGGAATTCCAGTCTTTTGCTGCTGCTTTACCTCATCTCGTGTCCATGCTGCTTGCCCTTGAGGGAGACCAGGATGCACCAGACATCCCTACCCCGCGCTCATACGCAGAGGCGATTGTCAAACTTATATGCTATAGTCTGTGTAGGCTGTAGTGGGGTAGACTATATGGGGTACAACATTTCTAGGTTTCCCTACTTGTACCCACCTGCTTGCTAGTTCATTCATTCCTCATTTCTTCACATGGTATAGAGCAGGTTCCCTAGTGGGAACGCTTCCTTGGGCCCACCACGATTTTTTTTTTCCTGCCCGGAGCGCGCTTTGATCCTGCCCGAGTCGCGCCCCGTGTGCCCTCCCTACCGTCGCGCCCTCTCACGGCCCCTCACGGCCCCTTCGCGTCGCCTTTAGCGGCCCCTCTCACGGCCCCTCGCGCCGCCCTTACGGCCCCTCGCGCCGCCCTTACGGCCCCTTACGGCCCCTCGCGCCGCCGGTCGGCCCCTCGCGCCGCCCTTGCGGCTCCTTACGGTCCCTCGCGCCGCCCTTACGGCCCCTCGCGCGGCCCCTTCCGGCCCATCGCGGCGCCCTTACGGCCCCTTACGGCCCCTTACGCCGCCCTTCGCGGCCCCTCTCGCGGCCCCTTTACGGCCCGTCGCCACCCTCCGCGGCACCTCGCGCCGCCCTTCACGGCCCCTTCGCCGCCCTTCGCGGCCTCTCGCGGCCCTGTCGCCGCCCTTCGCAGCCACCTCGCCGCCCTTAGCGGCCCTCGCTGCCGGCCCCTAGCGGCCCCATCGCCGCCTCTACCGGCCCCCCCTCCTTCGTCGCTGAACCGCCCAGCAGCTGAGCCGCCGAGCCGCCGAGCCGCCCAGCAACCGAGCTACCGAGCCGCCCAGCAGCCGAGCCGCCCAGCAGTCGAATCACCGAGCCGCCCTGCCGCCGCCCTGCCCAACAGCCGAGCCGCCGAGCCGCCAAGCAGCCGAGCCGCTGAGCCGCCCAGCAGCCGAGCCGTTGAGCCGCCCAGCAGCCGAGCCGCCCAACAGCCGAGCCGCCGAGCTGCCCAGCAGCCAAGCCGCCGAGCTGCCGAGCCGCCCAGCAGCCCTGCCGTTGAGCCGCTACTGTTCCTACCGGCGCGCCCCGACCCTACTTACTCGGACTGGTGAGATCCCTCCCTGCTAGACCACTGCAGTCATGGCTACCTCCAGTGTCCTTACCTTTGATACTGAGGGTCGTGCTGTTGACTTTGAGGTCTGGGTCGATGACCTCCAGCTGTTCCTACATTGCGATAGGGCTGACGGAAACTCGCTGTTCGATCTCACCTCTGGTGCCTCTCCTGCCCCACCTGCTACTGCTGACAGCACTGTTCGCTCACAGTGGGCCACACGCAATGCTGCTGCCCGTCTTGCTGTGCGTCGCCACTTACCGACCACTGAGCGTGCGCACTTTAGCCAGTACAATACTGCTCAGACCTTGTACGACGCTGTAGTTGCACGCTACTCCTCCCCTGCCACTGCTGCGCTAAGCCGCCTCATGCTGCCGTACCTGTTCCGTGACCTTGCTTCCTTTCCCACAGTCGCCGACCTCATTACGCACCTTCGCACTAGTGACACTCGCTACCGCGCTGCGCTTCCTGCTGAGTTCTGTGCCAAGAACCCCCCCCCCATGTACATCACCCTCTACTACATAGTCACCTGGCTCCCTCACTCCCTTCGCTTAGTCAGGGACCACTTCCCCTCAGTTTGCCCCACCATACTCACCGTTGACCTCCTCGAGGAGCGCCTCCTAGCAGCAAAGAAGAGCATAGTCACCGTAGGAGCCTCTCGTGGTGACCCTCGCACCCCCGTCTTTGAGGGGTGTTCCCCCTCCCCCCTCTTGCCTTCTGTTGCTTCTGCTGCTGCGGCCGACCTCGTTGGTTTCGAGTCGGTCGGCGCAGCGTCTGCCCCTAGCGAGAGACGCCGCACCGGCAAGGGCAAGGGGGGCAAGGGCGCTGGAGGGGCTGGCGGGGGCGTTGGAGGTGGTGGTGGAGGCAGTGGAGGGGGTCGGGGTGGTGGTGGGAGTGGTGGCGGGGGTGGAGGTGTCGGTGGCAGCAGTGGAGGCGGAGGAGGCGGCGGCGGTGGCGGAGGGAGCGGAGGCGGCGGAGGTGGCGGAGGCGGCGGAGGCAGCGGTGGAGCTAGTCGCGGCTTTGCACAAAGGAGTGGCTCCTGTGGTGGTCCGCGCCAGCTGCAGTAGCGCAGTCGTGAGACCCCGTCCCCCCAGCAGCTTCGTGAGTGGTACACTGGGCGTCAGCGAGGTGGGTATACTCGTCCCTGCACCTACGTCCTCCGTACACGCGACCGCGCTGGTGAGCAGTGCAAGGGCCCGCACTCCACCCAGCGCTGCTTCGGCCGCCTGACGGACGCGTGGCGTCACCAGTTCCCTGACGCCACTGAGATCCGTCGCTGGGGAGAGCTGTCTGGGGCGGGGGTTGCTATCTTTGATCTTGATTATGATGCTATTCTTGCTGCCATGTATGCTGTGTCTGCTAGTGATGAGGGTGACTGTTTCCTGTGTGTTCCGCCTAACCCGGGCATTGAGGTTGCTGCTCTAGGTGCTGGTGAGGTTGCTCCTCTAGGTGCTAGCGCGTCTGCTCCTCCAGGTGCTGGTGAGTCTGCTCTCTCAGGTACCCCGTCGGCTCAGGCCTTACACACCTTCACCCTTGACTCGGGTGCTTCCTGCTCCTTCTTTCGAGACCGCACCACGCATACGCCGCTTAGTCGGCCGGTTGCGGTCTCCCTGGCGGACCCCTCTAGGGGTCCTGTCCTTGCTAGCTTCTCCACTGTCTTACCGTGCCCGGCAGCCCCCTCTGGCACCCTGTCAGGTCTCTACCTCCCCTCGTTCTCTACGAACTTGGTGAGTGGAGCTAATCTACAGGATAGGGGGGTTGACCAGTTCAGTCCTGCGAGTCAGCGGGTGACCCAGGCATGGCCTCCCGTGTCCTTGTCTCTGGTCTCCCCCGGTCTCTACCTCCCCTACCTCCCGGGCCTGCCCCTACCTGCGTCCCCTGCGTTGAGGGGCGATAGCGCGCCGCCCCTCACTCCTTCGAGTTTCCTCCGACAGAGGCTCCGCTGCAGACACTTCACATGGACGAGTGGGGCCTAGCCCGCGTCCGTGGCCAGGGTCACGAGCGCTACTTCCTGTTGGTGGTTGACAACTACTCGCGTTACACCACGGTGTTCCCCTTGCGCAGCAAGGGTGACGTCGTTGAGGTGTTGATCGAGTGGATCCGCGAAGCTCGTCTCCAGCTCAGAGAGAGTTTCGGCTCGGACTTTCCTGTTCTGCGTCTGCACTCTGACAGAGGCGGGGAGTTTTCCTCTGCCCGTCTGGGAGCCTTCTGTCGTGCACAGGTGATCCGCCAGACCTTCACGCTTCCGGCCTCTCCACAGCAAAATGGGATTGTTGAGCGCCGCATTGGTATGGTCATGGACGTCGCTCGTACGTCCATGATCCATGCGGCTGCCCTCCATTCTCTGTGGCTGTTTGCGGTTCAGTACGCAGCGCATCAGCTCAACCTTCAGCCCCGGGTCTCCTTGCCAGAGACCTCCCCCACCCTGCGGTGGACAGGGAAGGTTGGCGATGTGTATGCGTTTCGGGTCTGGGGATCTCGGGCGTTTGTCCGCGACTTGTCTGCGGACAAGCTGTCCCCCCGTGCTGTTCCCTACGTCTTCCTTGGCTTCCCCCCTGACGCGCCTGGTTGGCAGTTCTACCACCCCACCTCGCGCCGTGTTCTGTCCTCCCAAGACGTCACCTTTGACGAGTCGGTGCCTTACTACCGTCTCTTCCCCTACCGCACTGCGAGTCAGCCATGGACGCAGAGATGGCTTCCTGGAAGTCCACAGGCACCTACGTTGACGCGGTTCCCCCACCTGGGGCGAACATCGTCAGTGCCATGTGGATTTTCAGGGTGAAGCGACCGCCGGGTTCTCCGCCTGTCTTCAAGGCGCGTTACGTGGCTCGAGGCTTAAGTCAGCGGCAGGGAGTTGACTAGTTTCAGACCTTCTCTCCCACCTCGAAGATGACCACTCTTCGGGTGCTGCTGCACCTAGCCGCTCAGCGTGACTACGAGCTTCACTCTCTTGACTTTAGCACAGCATTCCTGCAGGGCAGCCTCCACGAGGAGATCTGGCTGCCGCGCCCTCCTGGCTTCACTGGGTCGTTTCCTCCTGGTACCCAGTGGAGCCTCCGGTGGCCGGTCTACGGTCTCCACGAGGCGCCCCGTGAGTGGCACGACACACTGAGGACTACACTTGCGGCTCTTGGGTTTGCTCCTTCTACAACCAACCCGTCGCTATTTTATGCGCATCGACACCTCTTTGCCGCCATTCTACATCCTCGAGTACGTCGACGACTTGGTCTTTGCCACTGCTGACACTGCTGGACTCGCCCACGTGAAGTCCGAGCTGCAGAAGAGACACACGTGCACAGACCTGGGTGCACTGCGCAGCTACCTTGGCTTGCAGATCACCCGGGACAGAGCACAGCGCACCATTACCCTGACTCAGTCACACATGGTGCAACAGGTCCTTCAGCGCTTCAACTTCACGTACTCCTCGCCTCAGGCCACTCCTCTGGCTACTCGCCACTCGCTCTCAGCTCTGCCTTCGGATGAGTCCGTAGAGCCGAGTGGCCCGTACCCAGAGCTTGTTGGCTGCCTCATGTACATGATGACCTGCACACGACCTGACCTTGCATACCCTCTTAGCATCTTGGCACGCTATGTTGCTCCTGGGAGACACCGACCAGAGCACATGGCTGCAGCGAAGAGGGTGTTGCGCTACTTGTGCAGTACGTCGGGCATGGGGCTAGTGCTTGGAGGGCGACGTCGAGTGGTCCTCAGAGGTCACGCGGACGCTTCTTGGGCTGACGACCAGGCTATGCAGCGGTCGTCACAGGGTTACACCTTCAGCCTTGGCTCCGGCTCTGTTTCGTGGCGGTCTACCCGCTCGTCTTCTGTTCTCGGCTCCAGCTGTGAGGCTGAGATCTACGCGGGGGCCATGGCTGCACAGGAGCTACGCTGGCTCACCTACTTGTTGACTGACCTAGGAGAGCCGCCTTGTTCTCCTCCAGTTTTGTACGTAGACAACAAGGCCATGCAGACTGGAGCAAAGAACGAAGCAGATTGCTCTTCGCTACTTTCTTGCTCGTGAGCTGCAGCAGCGTGGTTAGCTGCGCCTTGCTTACGTGGCCTCTGAGGCCAACACTGCTGATATCTTTACCAAGGCACTTCCGCCTGGTGATCATTACCGCTTTTGTACTTTGCTAGGTCTTGTGCCTACTTGGCCTCACTTGCTCACTTCTTAACCTTGCTTGTATTGTGATCTTTCTATACCTGCACTTACCTGTTTACCTTTATATATGATCTTGCATGTGAACTGGCCTTTTGGCCTTGCTCTTGTGCTCGGATTGTGTGGTGACGTTGTGATCCACCCTGAGCTTGCTTTGCTTTGCTTGACTGGTCTTGTGACCTCTTGTTCTCCCCCACTTTGCCTATGGAGGTGTGTCAAACTTATATGCTATAGTCTGTGTAGGCTGTAGTGGGGTAGGCTGTACAACATTTCTAGGTTTTCCTACTTGTACCCACCTGCTTGCTAGTTCATTCATTCCTTATTTCGTCACAACGATAGAGGGTCCCTACTCCTCTCAGTGATAGACAACTATGGACGCAGAGATGGCTTCCTGGAAGTTCACAGGCACTTAAGTTGACAAGGTTCCCCCACCAGGGGCGAACATTGTTGATGGCATGTGGATTTTTGGGGTGAAGCGCCCGCCGGGTTCTCCGCCTGTATTCAAGGCGCGTTTCGTTGCTCGAGGCTTCAGATAGCGACAGGGAGTTGACTAGTTTCAGACCTTCTCCCCCACCTTGAAGATGACCACTCTTCGGGTGCTGCTGCATGTCGCCGCTTAGCGTGACTACAAGCTTCACTCTCTTGACTTCAGCAGAGCCTTCCAACAGAGCAGCGTGCACGAGGAGATCTGGCTTCACTAGGTCGTTTCCTCCTGGTACCCAGTGGAGCCTCCGGCGGCTAGTCTACGGTCTCCGCCAGGCGCCCCGTGAGTGGCACGACACACTGAGGACTACGCTTGCGGCTCTTGGGTTTGCTCTTTCCACTGCTGACCCGTCGCTGTTTCTACGCACCGACACTTCGTTGTCGCCGTTCTACATCCTCGTGTACGTCGACGACTTGGTCTTTGCTACTGCTGACACTGAGGGTCTCGCCCACGTGAAGTCGGAGCTGCAGAAGAGACACACGTGCACAGACCTAGGTGAACTCCGCAGCTATCTTGGCTTGCAAATCACCCGGGATTGAGCACGGTGCACCATTACCTTGACTTAGTCATACATGGTGCAGCAGGTCCTTCAGTGCTTCAACTTTACGTACTCCTCGCCTCAGGCCACTCCTCTGTCTACTCGCTGTCAAGAAAGTAGATTAAGTGAACACTAGGGTTTGGGGTAGTGGTTGCAAATTCAGCTGCACCAACCCCTCAGCCAAGGTACAAGCAGCAGAAGCCGGTGCATGTGGCGGCAGGGCGCCTGGAGAGGAGGTGCGTGCGGCGGCAATGTGCGGCAGCGCACCAGGGCTCAACGGCAGCACCTGCTGCTCAACAGCTGTAGACAACAGAAGAAACAGATAATTGGAGGCAGGGGTGGCAGCAGGAGGTGCCACTGTAGCAACGCGCGGCAGCTGCAGATGCCTGGCTGACTTGCGCCACCACCTCACCCTCCCCCCTACAGCGGCACGCGCGGCTGTCGGATAGAGAGGAGGAGGGGCGGCTGCTGGCTTGGCAGAATCTCTCTTATTACTCCCTCACACTCTCTCCCTTTCCCCTCACCCTCCCCCCGCAACCTCTCAACCCCCTCACGACGGACCCCGCTGAAGAGAGAGGAAGGACGGGCTGCAGGCAACTCACACCCGCCACCCCCACATCTCTCCCCCCCCCACGGCGGAAGCTGCGGATGGGAAGGGGGGGGCGGTGGTAACTGCTGCTGGCGCTGGCGTCGTCGCTGGCGCTTGCGCAGGTGTTGGCGACGGGCGTTGGTGCTGGCGCACACGGCCGTGCGCGGGTGCGCACGGTCATTCGCGGCTGCGCGCAGCAATGTGCGGCCGTAAGCAGCTGCGCGCGGCCGCTGCTGTGTTCGTGACAGAACCGGGCGGGGTAGGCAATGCGCGCGACAAGCAGGGCGCAACGGGCATGACGGGGAGGGCGTCATGGACGGGACGGACGAGACCGTTTCGATGGTCGCGACCATTGCAACCATTGTAACTACGGCCGCGACGGGGGGCGTGACGTGCGCCATGAGCGGGGGGATACGTGGTGGGCCCATGGGGAAAAAAAAAGGTCTTAGGATAACCTAGCTCTTAAAACCATATCAAGAGAGTAGACTAAGTGAACACTAGGGTTTGGGGTAGGAGGAGAGTTGAGAGAGAAATTTAGCCAAAGAGGTTTCAATGATAGAGGGCATACAATATATAGTCAAGGAAATGGGCAAATGGTGCACCACCAAACAGGAAACTAATATAACGACACCAGGCTCTACTCTAGGCATTTTCAAATCTATACGAATACATTTTCATATACTCGCCACTCGCTCTCAGCTCTGCCTTCTAATGAGTCCGTAGAGCCGAGTGGCCCATAGCCAGAGCTTGTGGGCTTCCTCATGTACCTGATGATCTGCACTCGACCTGACCTGGCATAACCTCTTAGCATCCTGGCCCGCTATGTTGCTCCTAGGAGACACTGACCAGAGCACATGGATGCAGCTAAGATGGTGTTGCGCTACCAATGCAGTACGTCGGGCATGGGGCTCGTGCTTGGAGGACGGGCTCGAGTTGTCCTCACTGGTCACGCAGACGCTTCTTGGGTTGACGACTTGGCTACGCAGCGGTCGTCACAAGGTTACACCTTCAGCCTTGGTTCCGACTCTGTTTCATGGCGGTCTACCCGCTCGTCTTCCGTTCTCAGCTCCAGTTGTGAGGCTGAGATCTACGCAGGGGCCATGGCTGCACAGGGGTTACGCTGGCTC